GGTCAGCAAGCACACAAAGAAGCAGCATGGAAGCAGGTCAGTGGGCACACAAAGAAGCAGCATGGAAGTAGGTCAGCAAGCACACAGAGAAGCAGCATGAAAGCAGGTCAGCAAGCACACAAAGAAGCAGCATGGAAGCAGGTCAGCAAGCACACAACGAAGCAGCATGAAAGCAGGTCAGCAAGCACAAAAAGAAGCAGGTCAGCAAGCACACAAAGAAGCAGCATGAAAGCAGGTCAGCAAGCACACAAAGAAGCAGCATGAAAGCAGGTCAGCAAGCACACAACGAAGCAGCATGAAAGCAGGTCAGCAAGCACAAAAAGAAGCAGGTCAGCAAGCACACAAAGAAGCAGCATGGAAGCAGGTCAGCTAGCACACAAAGAAGCAGCATGGAAGCAGGTCAGCAAGCACACAAAGAAGCAGCATGAAAGCAGGTCAGCAAGCACACAAAGAAGCAGCATGGAAGCAGGTCAGCAAGCACACAAAGAAGCAGCATGGAAGCAGGTCAGCAAGCACACAAAGAAGCAGCATGGAAGTAGGTCAGCAAGCACACAAAGAAGCAGCATGGAAGCAGGTCAGCAAGCATACAAAGAAGCAGCATGGAAGCAGGTCAGCAAGCACACAAAGAAGCAGCATGGAAGCAGGTCAGCAAGCACACAAAGAAGCAGCATGGAAGTAGGTCAGCAAGCACACAAAGAAGCAGCATGAAAGCAGGTCAGCAAGCACACAAAGAAGCAGGTCAGCAAGCACACAAAGAAGCAGGTCAGCAAGCACACAAAGAAGCAGGTCAGCAAAGACACAAAGAAGCAGCATGGAAGCAGGTCAGCAAGCACACAAAGAAGCAGCATGAAAGTAGGTCAGCAAGCACACAAAGAAGCAGCATGGAAGCAGGTCAGCAAGCACACAAAGAAGCAGCATGAAAGCAGGTCAGCAAGCACACAAAGAAGCAGCATGAAAGCAGGTCAGCAAGCACACAAAGAAGCAGGTCAGCAAGCACACAAAGAAGCAGCATGGAAGCAGGTCAGCAAGCACACAAAGAAGCAGGTGAGCAAGCACACAAAGAAGCAGGTCAGCAAGCACACAAAGAAGCAGCATGGAAGCAGGTCAGCAAGCACACAAAGAAGCAGCATGGAAGCAGGTCAGCAAGCACACAAAGAAGCAGCATGAAAGCAGGTCAGCAAGCACACAAAGAAGCAGCATGAAAGCAGGTCAGCAAGCACACAAAGAAGCAGCATGAAAGCAGGTCAGCAAGCACACAAAGAAGCAGGTCAGCAAGCACACAAAGAAGCAGCATGAAAGCAGGTCAGCAAGCACACAAAGAAGCAGCATGAAAGCAGGTCAGCAAGCACACAAAGAAGCAGGTCAGCAAGCACACAAAGAAGCAGCATGGAAGCAGGTCAGCAAGCACACAAAGAAGCAGGTGAGCAAGCACACAAAGAAGCAGGTCAGCAAGCACACAAAGAAGCAGCATGGAAGCAGGTCAGCAAGCACACAAAGAAGGAGCATGGAAGCAGGTCAGCAAGCACACAAAGAAGCAGCATGGAAGCAGGTCAGCTAGCACACAAAGAAGCAGCATGGAAGCAGGTCAGCAAGCACACAAAGAAGCAGCATGGAAGCAGGTCAGCTAGCACACAAAGAAGCAGCATGGAAGCAGGTCAGCAAGCACACAAAGAAGCAGCATGGAAGCAGGTCAGCAAGCACACAAAGAAGCAGCATGGAAGCAGGTCAGCAAGCACACAGAGACGCAGCATGGAAGCAGGTCAGCAAGCACACAAAGAAGCAGCATGGAAGCAGGTCAGCAAAGCACACTGAGACGCAGCAGGCAGGCAGATATGAACAAGTCGTGTATATACAAAACAAGGCAGCATGCATGCAGACAGACGTATCAGGTATTCATGAAATATCAACTAATTCATAAGTTGATATGCCCTTGACACTCCAGTTATTACGTTTTCATAAACTGATTATGTATTCTGGAGAAATTGTTCTAACATTTGAAATGAAGGACAATTAATTCTATCACTTGCGCACTGTCGAGTTAGGAGACCACTGGCTCTATGACCTGAGGAGACCACTGGCTCTATGACCTGAGGAGACCACTGGCTCTATGACTTGAGGAGACCACTGGCTCTATGACTTGAGGAGACCACTGGCTCTATGACTTGAGGAGACCACTGGCTCTATGACTTGAGGAGACCACTGGCTCTATGACTTGAGGAGACCACTGGCTCTATGACTTGAGGAGACCACTGGCTCTATGACTTGAGGAGACCACTGGCTCTATGACTTGAGGAGACCACTGGCTCTATGACTTGAGGAGACCACTGGCTCTATGATTTGAGGAGACCACTGGCTCTATGACCAGAGGAGACCACTGGCTCTATGACCTGAGGAGACCACTGGCTCTATGACCAGAGGAGACCACTGGTTCTATGACCTGAGGAGACCAACGGCTCTATGACCAGAGGAGACCACTGGTTCTATGACCTGAGGAGACCACTGGCTCTATGACCAGAGGAGACCACTGGCTCTATGACCTGAGGAGACCACTGGCTCTATGACCTGAGGAGACCACTGGCTCTATGACCAGAGGAGACCACTGGTTCTATGACCTGAGGAGACCAATGGCTCTGTGACCTGAGGAGACCAATGGCATGTGACCTGAGGAGACCACTGGCTCTATGACCTGAGGAAACCACTGGCTCTATGACCTAGAGACCACTGGCTCAATGACCTGAGGAGACCACTGGCTCTATGACCTGAGGAGACCACTGGCTTTATGACCTAGAGACCACTGGCTCAATGACCTGAGGAGACCACTGGCTCTGTGACCTGAGGAGACCACTGGATCTATGACTTGAGGAGACCACTGGCTCTATGACTTGAGGAGACCACTGGCTTTATGACCTGAGGAGACCGCGTCCTCTATGACTTGAGGAGACCGCTGGCTCTGTGACCTGAGGAGACCACTGGATCTATGACTTGAGGAGACCACTGGCTCTATGACCTGAGGAGACCACTGGATCTATGACTTGAGGAGACCACTAACTCTATGACCTGAGGAGACCACTGGCTCTATGACCTGAGGAGACCGCTGGCTCTATGACCTGAGGAGACCACTGGCTCTATGACCTGAGAACACCACTGGCTCTATCACGTGAGGAGACTGATGTTGATAATACTTATCAACATTACAAATGTATTTACAAGTATTGATATGTTATTTTAGTAATGATAAATTACTTGACAATGCCATATAACTTATTTTATATTGTTTGTGTGCAAAAGAGCAATAATAAAAATGTTTGCTCATTAGAAAGACAATTATTTAAGATTTATGTTATTTAAGTTATATTATGCACTATACAAACACCACTCTTGTATAATGTATTTTTTTTTTTTTTTTTTGCAAATATGCAGAACATAAGAATTGTGTGAACAGCAGAAGGCCCAGTATGGCCTTACTAGGCAACTCCTGTATATATATATATATATATATATATATATATATATATATATATATATATATATATATATATATATATATATATATGTCGTACCTAGTAGCCAGAACTCACTTCTCAGCCTACTATTCAAGGCCCGATTTGCCTAATAAACCAAGTTTTCCTGAATTAATATATTTACTATAATTTTTTTCTTATGAAATGATAAAGCAACCCTTTTCTCTATGTATGAGGTCAATTTTTTTTTATTGGAGTTAAAAATAACGTAGATATATGACCGAACCTAACCAACCCTACCTAACCTAACCTAACCTATCTTTATAGGTTAGGTTAGGTTAGGTAGCCGAAAAAGTTAGGTTAGGTTAGGTTAGGTAGGTTAGGTAGTCGAAAAACAATTAATTCATGAAAACTTGGCTTATTAGGCAAATTGGGCCTTACATATTAGGCTGAGAAGTGCGTTCTGGCTACTAGGTACGACATATATATATATATATATATATATATATATATATATATATATATATATATATATATATATATATATATATATATATATATATATATATATATATATATATCCAAACTCAGACATTCTGGTGTTTTAACTATGCTTGGAACAGTGTAAGAATGCCCTGTATTCATTACATTACATTCATTACATTAAAATTAAGTACATTGTTAAGAGGGTAATTGTTCCACTATTAAACAACTTTATTACCAAGTAACCATTTACTAATGTGTAACCATTGTTTCTTGTATTCTTTTTACCCTTGATATATTTATATTATTAATACGTTTTTTCTATTTGTGTGTTCAGAATCGAGCTTTTAGCTCTTGGACCCCGCCTTTCTAACCAATGTACTCACCTAATTGTACTCACCTAATTGTGCTTGCGGGGGTTGAGCTTTGGCTCTTTGGTCCCGCCTCTCAACTGTCAATCAACTGGTATATGTGTATGTGTATGTGTCTATGTGTCCGTATGTGTCACAAATGTATGTGAGCAGCGTTGTGCGAATGTATATCTAACTAACTGGTTAGCTATTGACCCTCCACATGATCAGGCCTTCAGAAACTCTTTAAGTCTAAGTAGTTACGTACTGCTAGGCAGGAGAACGGGAACGCTTGGATTTTGTTTCCACTTTACTCTCTCTCTCTCTCTCTCTCTCTCTCTCTCTCTCTCTCTCTCTCTCTCTCTCTCTCTCTCTCTCTCTCTCTCTCTCTCTCTCTCTCTCTCTCTCTCTCTCCCTCCCTACTCTCTCCCTCCTCTCTCTCCTCTCTCTGTCTCTCTCTGTCTGTCTCTTTCTCTCTCTCTCTCTGTCTCTCTCTCTCTCTCTTTCTCTCTCTCTCTCTCTCTCTCTCTCTCCTCCCTCTCTCCCTCTCTGTCTCTCTCTGTCTCTCTCTGTCTGTCTCTTTCTCTCTCTCTCTCTCCCTCCCTCTCTCCCTCTCTCTCTCTCTCTCTCTCTCATTCACTGCAGTCACTGTACCTGCAACATTGGCATCCTCACGCAAAACAATAACTGCCTCATTTCCTTGCAGGACACCTGGCCAGCCTCATCATGTTGATGCGTTCTAGCGACGGGCAGCTGAAGCGACACAGAATTATCCGGCTGTGCTCGAGCACCAGGTAAGTTACTGCCTAGAACAAGGCTACACTCTTGTAATTTTATATCTCTAAGAATATAAGTAAGGCTAAATAAGCAAGAGTTAAAAATACAAGGGGAAACAGTTGATATTCTGATACGCCGTCTGAATCTGTCCTTAGGCAGACGTAAGACTATACTAAAATCTGGGAAGGTTAAGACGTATGGGAAAGCTCCCTGCGTATGAGGCCACTATGCCAAGTTACTTGTATATATATAATATATATATAATATATATATATTATATATATATATATATATATATATATATATATATATATATATTATATATATATATATATATATATATGTATATATATAAGTAGACCACATCACCGTATTTGTCATGATATTATTTGCCTGCAATTGAGGTGTACGTACATTGTTACGGTTTATTATCCGTATTATGGCTTTTTCAATTTTTGGTTGAAAAGAGTGGTAAGGGATTCCACCAATAGAAATGGATTATTGTATTCTATTTTTGTTATTTCATTATTGGTGAAAGAAAGGGTGAAAGAAATTGCCCATTTGTTTCCACCTCCATCGGGAATCGAACCCGGAACTTCAGGACTACGAATCCGAAGTGCAGTCAACTCAGCTGTCAGGCGCGCTTAGCTGTCAGACAAGGCCAATGTCTTGTCCCAGATAAATTGTTAACAGAAAGCTGGTGCAGCCTCTATGACCTTTCAGGCCATTCTTATTACCGACCACATGTACAGGGTACGAGTACTTCCTTACATGTCTTCCACATATTTACTATACGAATACAGCAGCTCCTATTTATATCCTCCCAAAAGCATTCCCATATATGTCTAACTTATACTTAATTCAACCCAGGGCTTCTGTGTGTATTGTGTTAGCAAGTATTTCTTCCATAAATCTCTAACCCTATTTCCAAACCAATATTTACCAAAGTCTTGTTCGTATCGAAAGATATCTAATATGATATTAAATGTTTCTTGCTCTGTTTTGTGTTGATATAATTTGAAATATTATTTTTATTTCAGCATTGAAGGTTATTTTTAGACAATGAAGCTATATGCCGCCTACACATCCTTCTTTTTCGTGAATTTTAATGATCTCATAGAGCTCAGTCAAGTTTGTCAGGCATGACATTCTCTCTCTAAATCCATATTGCCTCTCCGTTATAAAGCCTATAATCTCCAGGTGCTCTATTATTCACATTCAGATTTCTCCTTCCAGCTCTGTGCAAGGGATGCATATCAGCAACACAGGACTATAACTGAATGAATCAAACCTGTCCATATTTTTTTTAAATACAAGAAATGCGTTTGCCTTTGTTGATATTTCGATTTGATCTCCATTTTGGAATGCTCTATTGGAAGTCTCTGTTAGTATTCTTCAGCAGAGACCCGACGATATCTTCTCCCGATGATGACACTCTTCACCCGATGATGACACTCTTCACCCGATGATATCACGTCGGGTGGTTACCTTGAGTTTACCTTGAGGTGCTTCCGGGGCTTAGCGTCCCCTCGGCCCGGTCGTCGACCAGGCTTCCTGGTTGCTGGACTGATCAACCAGGCTGTTAGACGCGGCTGCTCGCAGCCTGACGTATGAGTCACAGCCTGGTTGATCAGGTATCCTTTGGAGGTGCTTATCCAGTTCTCTCTCGAACACTGTGAGGGGTCGGCCAGTTATGCCCCTTATGTGGTGGTACTGCTGTGTTCCGTCTAGTTCCTCCAAGCAAGGTTCTTCGGTGACCCTTGAACCACACGTCTTCGGTGACCCTTGAACCACACGTCTTCGGTGACCCTTGAATCACACGTCTTCGGTGACCCTTGAACCACACGTCTTCGGTGACCCTTGAACCACACGTCTTCGGTGACCCTTGAACCACACGTCTTCGGTGACCCTTGAACCACACGTCTTCGGTGACCCTTGAACCACACGTCTTCGGTGACCCTTGAACCACACGTCTTCGGTGACCCTTGAACCACACGTCTTCGGTGACCCTTGAACCACACGTCTTCGGTGACCCTTGAACCACACGTCTTCGGTGACCCTTGAACCACACGTCTTCGGTGACCCTTGAACCACACGTCTTCGGTGACCCTGAACCACACGTTTTCGGTGCCAACTAAAGTGTTGTTTCTGGTCATAAAGAAGTGAGTGGGGGTGGCGGTTCTCTGGTTCTGGTTCGGGATTACTGTGGTGCAGACAGTACCCTTCTACTTTTGTATCTACACTGTTATATTGAAGTAAAATTCTAACTGCCAGTTTTTCGGTATCATATTAATTCTTATTTATTTAGTTAATATCTATTTTCACTTATTAAGATTAAATGATCTTTAACATTTGTATTCGTTGAGGGTCATATCTCACAAAACTATTAAAAAAAATTTTTACTACTATTTTTACTACTTAATTTTTTTTACTACTCTTTAATATCAATAAAATCTATCATTTAGATAAAATTACATATACATTTAATTTTTTTCTGAAGAATCTACGTAAACAAAATCTAATTAAAATGTTACAGTTTCATAATTATGTACATGGTCTCTTAAGTATTTTAAATGTCTCCATGTGAGCACTCCCGGACTCTATCTTTTTGAAACCTGAAGAACTGCACTCTAAAGGGTTCTATGTCTTTCTCTCTCTCTCTTACAGAGCTCTAAATGTTTTGTGCTTTACGTTTGTGTCTTTACACACACACACACACACACACACACACACACACACACACACACACACACACACACACACATATATAAGTAACTCTAAGAACCATGATCTCTGGCTAGAAAAAATTGTTGCCTGAATGTGTTCTAGAACGAGACTTTGAGGAGTTTGACACAAACACACACACACACACACACACACACAAGAACTTTGTAAAAGTTCTGTGTAAAAGAAAGAACGTGTAAAAGACGTGTGAAAGAAGTGTAAAAGAAAGAACTTTGTAACACAGCATCAACATGGATTCAGGGATGGCAGGTCCTGCCTCACAGGGTTACTTGAATTCTACGACCAGGCAACAAAAATAAGGCAAGAAAGAGAAGGGTGGGCAGACTGCATATTTTTGGATTGTCAGAAAGCCTTTGACACAGTGCCACACAAGAGGCTAGTGAAAAAACTGGAGATGCAGGCTGGAGTGAAAGGTAAGGTACTCCGTTGGATACAGGAGTACCTAAGTAACAGGAGACAACGAGTCAGTGTGAGGGATGAGGTCTCAGATTGGCGAGAGGTTACGAGTGGAGTACCGCAGGGGTCAGTCCTTGGACCTATACTGTTTCTGATATATGTAAATGATCTTCCAGAGGGTATAGAATCATTTCTCTCAATGTTTGCCGATGATGCAAAAATTATGAGGAGGATTGAAACTGAGGACGATAGTTGGAGGCTACAAGATGACCTAGACAGACTGAGTGAATGGTCCAACAAATGGCTGTTGAAGTTCAACCCGAGTAAATGCAAAGTAATGAAACTAGGTGGGGGAAATAGGAGGCCAAACACAGGATACAGAATAGGAGATGAAGTACTTAATGAAACGAACAGAGAGAAAGATCTAGGAGTTGATATCACACCAAACCTGTCTCCTGTAGCCCACATAAAATGAATAACGTCTGCGGCATATGCGAGGCTGGCTAACATCAGAACAGCGTTCAGGAACCTGTGTAAGGAATCATTCAGAATCTTGTACACCACATATGTAAGACCAATCCTGCAGTATGCGGCCCCAGCATGGAGCCCGTACCTTGTCAAGCACAAGACGAAGCTGGAAAAAGTCCAAAGGTATGCCACTAGACTAGTCCCAGAACTAAGAGGCATGAGTTACGAGGAAAGGCTACGGGAAATGCACCTTACGACACTGGAAGACAGAAGAGTAAGGGGAGACATGATCACAACCTACAAAATCCTCAGAGGAATCGACCGGGTAAACAAGGATAAACTATTCAACACCGGTGGGACGCGAACAAGGGGACACAGGTGGAAACTGAGTACCCACATGAGCCACAGAGACGTTAGAAGGAACTTTTTCAGTGTCAGAGTAGTTAACGGATGGAATGCATTAGGCAGTGATGTGGTGGAGGCTGACTCCATACACAGTTTTAAATGTAGATATGATAGAGCCCAGTAGGCTCAGGAATCTGTACACCAGTTGATTGACAGTTGAGAGGCGGGACCAAAGAGCCAAAGCTCAACCCCCGCAAGGACAAATAGGTGAGTACAAATAGGTGAGTACACACACACACACACACACACACACACACACACACACACACACAAAGAGAGCCAAAGAGCCAGAGCTCAACCCCCGCAAACACAACTAGGTGAGTACAAAATGAAGAATGAAGAAAGAAATGAAGAATGAAATAAGCAACCTGAAAAGAGAGCTGACAGAAGCAAAAGAGGAGATTAGAACCCTCAAAGAGAACAGTGGTGACGCTGAAACTCAGATAATCATCCAGGGGTAAGGTGGAAATATTATACTGGAAGAGAATGCTTCTATAAAAGCAACATTTGCAGAAATGCTAAAAAAAAATTACTTCAGTTATGTCCACAATGATAGAGGTAGCCATGAAAGCAGCCACCTCACAGGAAACGGCACGCTCCACTAGCCAGCTGCTGGAAAGAAAAAGATCAGTGGTAGCTGTGGGTATTAAAGAGCAGAAAGGCTCCAACAGGACAGAGTGGAATGATAAGGACAACGCAGCAGTGAATGAAATACTGAAGGCACTAGAGATGGAAGGGTCTGAGCATAGAATTGAGAAGGTTTTCAGGCAAGGCTGGTACAACAAAGACCGAGATATTGTGTTAGAGATAGTGTTTGCAAACAAGAGCACAAAGGAGATGATTCTAACAAGGAAAAGCCACCTGCAACATGTGGGACAATTCAAAAAAGTATTCCTCCAGAGGGACATGACGAGGCAAGGAGAGAGCCATGGCGGCAGAAGCAAGGAAGAAGTGCAGGGCAAGAGGGGAAAACCAGGAACTCATAGCTCCCAACACATCATCC